CGTCCGAGGTAGCTGCAGGGCAGAGCAGCCCGGGAAGCTACCTCGCTCGTGACAGGGGGTTTTAGTTGGGTTCAAATCCTACACTACCTGGGTCGGATCGGTGATGGGCCGATCGACTTCTGGTGCCTATCCCTAGTGGCGACGCTAACCGGCATTGAAACGGTACACGAAAGCGGATAAAATATCAAAATTCCGTATAAGTGTGGGCAGGGGTCTCCTCCTTGCTAAGAATAAGAGCAAAAACAAAAGAAAAAAAAATGTAAGAAACATGCAATGGAAGGTTCTTGGTGGTATTCTTGGAATTGGAAGAACACAATTGTTGTTGCAACATGACAAGATCCACCCCAGTCAGAGAGCGCGGTAGTGTGCGTGTGACTTATCGAACTAGGTATACTGGTGGTAGATTAAAATGTTTGTTTTACTGGGAAGGCATGATATAAGTGTGTGTGTTCAAGTCCTATTGAGCCATGTAGTTGTCAGTCGCATACTCTCTTGCTTGTTCTTGCTTGTTTCGGGTTGATACGGTTGGTTTCGTTGCCACAGCCAGCCAGGTTTGATGGCGCGGGAACGCAGTAGATGGCGGCGGTACGCGCGCATCTGTCTGTGCAGAAACAAACGCCTGCAGGGCGGAAACGGTGGTAGACCACGATCGACGGTTGGGTAGGTATGGGGCAAGATTGACACAACACCATCCCCTTCCATGGTACCTAGGGTTATGTGATGTAGTGGACAGAGGGGCTAGCGCGTCGCGGGTAAAATTGGGCGCTTCCGCTGCCAAATTTGTGCACAAATCAGTCGCTAGGTACACGGTGCCACCGAGCGGCCAAGAAGAACTACATAGTCACGCACTTGAATTGAAGAACACCAACCAACGGGGAGGTTGGAATAGCTTCGATACTACAGTGTTTTTTTCGCTTTGTTGCAGGACTGCGAAGGCTCCCGCTCGCTGAACAGACTTCTTTTCCGTCTATTCATTGGTCATCCGGTTCGCGCGGCCGACGCTGACTAATAATAGTACAGAAACACACACACACCCTTCCATCCGGTCTACAGTTGCTTAAAAAACTTCCCAGCATGAAAAGGGAAGAGGGTGTTCACCTACAGCTACTTACCCAACACCATGCTTTCCCATGACGCCGAAAAAAACAACATCCACACACACAACGACAACCGGGTATGGATGCATACAATATACCATTCCATCAGACAACAACTGAAAACCAAAAGGAAATATACACCGTACTAAAAAAAGTGAACTAAAGGGAAAGAGACAGCTTACAAAAATTCTTGGTTCAACGCCAGCATTAATGTGCGTGTTGAGCGGCACCAAGCACGCTAAACTACCCAAGCTCTTCCATCGATGAAAATTGCCAATGGAGTGATGTTCTCAGCGACAACCAGAGGTACCATCAAGTAAACGCGATTCGCCGGAGTAAATTCTGCGGTAAGAAAAGAGAGAGGGTTGAGTCGCCTGCCGACCTATTCCCAAATCCAACAAGCACCGCCCGGTACAAGGGAAGGTCGCGTTTACAACAGGCTGGAGGCAGGCGCATCTGGCACAAACACGTACAACCACGTGAAACGGTCACCCGCCTGGACCGAATTCCATTTATTCTTCCACAAGAAACACACGTCTCGTCAATCGCTAGGGTTATATAAAAGGCTTGAGAAGGAACCAATTACTGCATCAGTCAGGCAAAATTCACCATGAGAACCTTTGGTGTCTCACCTAGAGGGACTTCTGTTGCTGATGCCTGGTCCACACCGTACTCTAGCTACCGCCAAACCTACCTACCTGGCGTAGGACAAGCCCCCCGCCTACTACAACATAAAATTCCAAAACTTTTGCCCTACACGCTGGGTTTGAACGCACGCAAACGACTTGCAGTTTTGGCACCATCGCTACAATAAACACTCATTGTTCGTCACTTGGAAAGGTGCCACCGCCACCCGCTTGCAATCGTTAAAATCCACACCTTTTCCAAACATCGCCCCAAGACCTCTTGTTTAGGGCAGCAACCGTCGCTCCTCCGTGAGGACACCCAACAGAGGTATATAGACTTTTGCGTCGGGCGAGTTCCAAGTCCATCAACTCTCAAAAAAATAAAACCCTCTCAGCCACAGCTATGGGTGGCGCGTTCTGCATCGCGAACGAAAACCACTGACGACCTCGGTGGTACAAGGGCACATACCATATCGCAAAACACCGGAGGACACTGATTTGTAGTGGGAAAATATACAAGTATAATATATCTTCAACGTGCTACGCGGGCCGAGGCCCCATCGCCGTGCCGTACAGCTTTGCTCCCACCAAACGTAACCCTTCATTGAGCCAACAGAACGAGCCCATAATTATTCCGAAAAACAATTAGCATCCCATTCCGTGAGCCTGGGGGAGGAACAGTAAAAAAAACACCCCTTAATGATCCCGTTCTCTTCCAGCATGTACATGCTAGTCTGACGTTTCCACGTGACGACTCCTGTACAGACATCAACCAACGGTGCACCCTCCGCTGTCGGAAGCGGCCTCCCGACAGGCGGTGGTACGTGGCCGCAAAACGCTTACAGCACGACAAAATAAACCAGAGACCCGCGTGCGGGTAGGTTGAGCGATGACGTGGCAAGACGACTTCTTCGTCGAAACACGCGCCCATGGCAAGTACCAAACGCACCAAAAAAGTGTTCTAACGCGCACGCGACATCCCAACCCGTGCGGTCGCAGTCAATACCCTCGACTTGTGCAAGAAGCCGTGGGGTTTCAAATGCCCCCTCGGTACAGGTCCCTGTGTATAGGACCGCCAAAATAAGAACGGACGCCCTGTAGAAGGCGTGTGAATCGCGCAGCCCGGACGGAAAATTCAAGTTGTCTTATATGCTCGGAATAGCGTACCGGGTGCCGGGTATTACAAGGCCGGCTAGACCCCTGTGCCGCTGTGCGGCCTTCTACAGACCACCACCACTGCCGTTATCCCCTACTTCACGATTTCCAAGTCCCCTGTACAGTCCCAGCCACACTTTCCGTGTTAGGAAGGACCTGCTGGGGCGTACGTGAGCTTCAACGTTCCCAAGGGAACCAGCGCCGCCGTTGAGGCTCTCGTGTGTGGCATGGGCAGGAAGCCTTCTCCTCATCATTTCGCTGAGGAGGCTTTTCAAGCTCCCAAACCCATGAGCCATGTCTTGGCGCCCTCGTACACGCCGAAGAACACGAACCCGCCGATGCCTATCCAGGTAACCTGCGACGCCCCGAACGTTGTAGGGGGGGTCGGGGGGGGGGGGGGGGGTACTCCATAGCCGTGCATGCCGTAGTCGTTTGACCATTGACCTCGCATCCCTACAAAGTCGGGACGGAGCACGCCGGGTTCTCACCGGACCAGGCTCTCACATCACCAAGCGCGAAGCGCCATGAGGTATTTGGCGAGTCGCATGAAGGGTGAGCTGCATCGTGCTAAGGGTGTTCGGCATCTTGTGCTTACTTCCTTGCGTACGGATGACAGCTACGTATGACTTAATTTATTTTCTGGCCTGCAGTTCCACTTCCAAAAACAGCTCCAAACGACTGGGATACATGCCTTGAGGGCGCTTGACCATTTT